TAGGCTGTTTTTTTTTTTGTATTCAATGGAATGAATAAATAAATAAATAAAAAAAAAAGTAGAGATCCAGTCGGGGCCTTTGTTTGGCAAATATCCCCTTTTTTCATTTTTCTAATGATAAGAAACACCCCAAACTCACTTTTCAACTGTTTTCTCAAACAAACGTTACATCTGAGATTCTGAGTTTAATGTTTGAGATACCAACAGTGTTTTCACATCTTAACAAAAAAATTTTTGATCAGATCTTCATTGAGAGCTGTGGAAATTCAGTCCCTACTGACAGCCAAAAGTGCGCAAGTGACACGTCGCTCATCCTCTGTTTCAAGTCCATGTCACAGCTCAGCTCAGCCAGAGCCTCTTCCTCTCCTGCTGAAAGTCCATCTTTAAGTGTCACGGGGAAGGAAAATGGGTTTCTCTCCCACTGGTTTGCCATTGTCTCCTCTCCAAAATACTCTCCAAACTGCTCGCGCATCCCCTCCAAATGCGCACAGTAAGCCTGCTGTAAAAACTCCACCTTCAGCCCCGCTCTGGCCAAAACATCCTCTAAGATGGGAAACATTTCCACTGATCCCCGCTCCACACGCGCACCCCACAGTTCCAACTTGGTCCTAAATCCATATTTATTTTTTCCCTCTCACCGCGCCTCCCCTAAGGTGCTCTGGCGCCCCCCAAGGGAGGCGCGCCTCACACTTTGAAAACCGCCGGTCTAAACTAAGGCTGAAATTCTGATGTGATTGGTCCGCCAGAAAATGAGGCGTTCACTGATTGGCTGTTATAAGCTCTCACTTTGGGAATCTTTAGGCTGCAATATACAGCCATTTTTTGAATTTTTACTGCAGCTAACCGTAGGTGATCTTTCATCCTTTTGACCTGAAACCCAGCTCAGAGCTCACCTGCTTAACTTTTTCTTTCCTAGATAGAGCCACCTATTGAACTAAGTGTATAATTACTTGCAAAGTTAACAAAACAATGCCTGTCCCATCACTACATGCTTATCCAGAGGGAGTGAACTTTTTAAGTCAATGACTCAATGCAATCCTTTGAAACCTTCTAACCAATCTACCTGTATGATTTTATTACATTGACTCTTTCAACTGCTTTGAAGTGACGTGTTGTGAATTGGGGACTATATGAATAAACTGAAGTGATATTTAACTTAAGCCAAAAAAAAATCATGAATCTTTAAGGCATCTTTATTTATGCTGGTATGTATACATTATTTTGCTGATGATATAGAAAATATTTTGATTCAATCACATTCAAAATCATTTATTTTCATTATAATTAACAGTTTATGTTCAAATATGATAAGGGAAGAACATATTAGTTTATGTATCAAATATTTTGAGACTAAACAAGATCCTTTGAAACCACATCATGGCACCCCCTTTTGTTGTTCAGTGTTCTATTTCAGAAATAATACAGCCAGTGGATGGACAATCAAAACTTGTCTGTAGACAAAGGGGAGGCCATGGTACGAAGACCACCAAGCCTCTGTGTCAGGGGCTAGAGATGAAGAGCTGTATCTTTTGCGTCTCCAGGGTTTTCTTTTGGCCGAGCACTGCCTTCTCTTAGCCCTCTTTCACTTTGGCAGCTAGTGCAGAATTCTCCAGACGGATTGCCCTGTAGTCATCCAGAATCCTCTCCAGGTTAGTCACTGTTTTATTACAGTTTTCTGTCTCAATCTTTAGAAACACAAAGACAAAAAGAAACTTAAATGGATTATTCAAGTATTTAGACATGAAGTTTTGTGAAACATCAGCGGAGATACAACGGTGTCGATTCTGTCACAGAGCCTCCTGCTAGGAGAAACTGCCGGTAATGTACCAGATGAAAAGCTTACCGGTACTGTATGGGGGTGCAAATAATTAAAGCTTTTTAAGCTAAAAATGTAATGTGTTTTGTTACACTTATTCAACAGTTTTAAAACATCCAGGAACTATGTCAAACCGTGATATCAATTGAAGCATTTTGCTGATATCTCCCGGCTGCATAGACAGTTCCTGCAAACAGAAATAAATTAAACAGCTCATCAATCAATAAATCAATCAATCAGTCTCTCAACATTATAGAAATAATGTTGACAGACTGGTCAACACTGATCAAATGGGCAAAGAAGCACTTCCTGCAGAGGATGAGGCGAGTCCACCTGGCCCGACCCATTCTCATGACCTTCAACAGAAGAATCATAGAGAGCATTCTGACCAGCTGTCTCACTGTGTGGTGTGGAGGCGGCAGCATAGACTGGAAGAAGGTGAGGAGAGTAGTGAGAACTGCAGAGATCATCGGGGCTCCTCTTCCCTCCATAAAAGACATTTCATCCCAGCGCTGCATGTCCCGAGCCAGTAACACGCAGCATCCGATGCAGGTCCAGTAGATTCCGGAAGAGCTTCTGCCCAAGTGCCATTAGACTGCTGAATGTTGTATAAAATGGGTTTAAAAAAAAGGGGGCTGAATGTTGGAAACTGTAAATCATATACGAGTCTTCTGTTTACATTTGATCACCACTTTTAAATTTTATCACTGCTGCACTTTAGAAATAGAAATGTCTTGAGAGCTGTACTGAACAAAACGTCTTTATTTGTACACTCTGTTAGTACAAAACGACAATAAAGGCTGTCAAAGTCTGTCTGACAAAGTGGAGGAGTTGGCAGCTTGCATTATAGTTTCTAGTGGCTTGTGATCACTCTGAACCTTAAACCAAGCCAAAAACCATTGCTAGAAACTCCTTTTCTATTTGAACATAGCCATATTCTGTTATTGTAAGTGTTGTGCTAGCAAAAGTGACTGGCTTGCCCATCTACAGTCTATAGTATTTCAAGAGGCATTTGCTATTGCCTTTTTCAGATTTTGGAACGCCTCCTCTTGTTCTGCATGCCAGATCCACACACTATCTTTGTGTGTCAGGTCCCTTAACACTTTGCAGTGATCAAACAGATGCCGGCAGAACTTGGTTAGGTAATTAACCACACCTATCAGTCTGCACTGATTTTACATCTGTCAGAGCAGGTGTCTGCTCCACCGCACGGACCTTCTCTGGGTCGGGTTTGAGTCCGTCCGCAGTCAGGCGATGTCCAATGTATATAGTCTTCTGTTTTACTCTAAATTTTTCCACATTCAATTTTATTTTTATTTTTTCGATCTTGCTCCACTTACTCATCTGTCTCTTCCTGCCCTGTTATCAAAATGTCATCAGCTATGATGTACAGTCCAGGCAGGTTGTCCAGCACTTGCATCAGTTTTCTGTGAAATATTTCTGGGACAGTACTCATTCCCATTGTCATCATCAGCCATCTATACCGACCGAATGGAAATCCACTCTTGACATCACATACTGTGAACTCCTTGGCTTTCGACAAGGGATCAATACATACCCTGGGCTTGCCATTTTTGTTTTAGTATGACCACCATCCTGCGCTAATCCAGTCTGTATTGCTTTCCACAGGTGTAATTATTCAATCGTGCAGATCCTGTAGCTCTCCCTTAAAACCACTGGAACACATCTCTTTGGTAGCTCCACTAGCTTTACTGTCCTGTCGATCTCCATCTTGTGTTTCCTCTCTAAACAATCATCTCCACTGAACACATCCGCATACGTTGCCTTGATTTCCTCCATAGACCAAGGTCCTGTTCTGGGTTTTTCTGCAATCGTAACTGTGCTAACAATAGTCATGATGTTTTCATACTGCACTTTAATCAGATTCATTGCCTCACTGGCTCTCCTCCCAAATAAAGGTGCTGCATCATCTCCATTTAACACTTGGAACTCTAAGCGGTAAAGTTTGTTGTTTCTTGGGTTTTCTTAATTTAACTTTACATCTCCTTATGGATCTCATCTTGCTTTTGTTGTAAATAACAACCACACTTTTAGTCTTTCCCAGCTGGATGTCTGGGTTTAGCAGGTTGATTGGAATAATGTTGCAACTATCCCGACAGTTTATTTGGAATTGGACTGTGTCATTTACCAGCAGCATGCCTGCATAAAGAAGCTGAAAGAATTTAACTGTGTCTGTCTCTTTTCAATGTTTCACGTCTTTATCTTTAGTACTCTCTGTCCCCAAAGCATCCACTTTTCTCCATCTCTATTACTGTGACAGGAAATATCTTCCTATTCATCGTTTACACATTCTGTCATTATTTTACTTACATGTTTGTGGCTTCTCTGGTCCATTTTTGCTTTACCTCTTGCTACAAAATGGTTCAGCACTGTTTTGCTTTCTTTAAACTGGAACTGAGCTCCTCGAACACCATTCACCTTTTATGTGACTGAGCTGGCGATTTTTTTTTTCCACATTATCTTTGGACAGTTCAGCAGCTGTGCAGACTGCAGACACGTGTCAAGTGTGAGTTTTTCCTCATAAAGCAGTCATTTTCTCATGCCTGCATTGCTACCTCCACACACAATCCTGTCCTGAATCAACAAATCCCTCGATGTTCTGAAGTTGCACATTTTAGTTAGCAGTCTTAGCTCTGTGACGTAGCTGTCAATGCTCTCGCTGACACCCTGATATCTGCAAAAAAAAAAACAATATCTTTCCACAGTCTCATTTGTGCTGGGCTTAAAATGGTCATCAAATTTCAAAACAATTTTCTTGAGCCTCCAATCAGCAGTAGCTGTATCTCCCCTTAGGGTGTTCAAAAGGTCTTTGCCCATGTTGCCGACTAGATAACTGAAGAGTTGTACCTCCCGTTCGTCATTTGCTCAAGCCATCGTTTAGCCCATATACAGCAGAAAGTCGTCTCTAGAGCTCTTCCATGTCTTTTCAATGTCGCTGGGATCCAGAGTTAGTGTCTGTGGTGGCTTTAGCCCATCCATGTTGCGGTGTGTCGGTCACTCTTCCCGATAGCCGAAGCTAATGCTAGGTGACACCAACTGTGGTGCTATCTTAATCACTGTGATCCAGACTGACTCCACACTGCTGCCACCATGTTTTATTCTTGTTCTTTCTCTTCTTGTGTTTACTCAAATACACAAACCTAGTTGCACAATAATCCAACAGGGTCAGAACTTAATTAATAATTGGTGGGTACTCTACAAACAGTTCGGTCAGGCACCACTGCTAAGGCTGATTCCAAAACACTAACATATCTGTGTGCAAAATATGTATAACATTAGTTCCTATTGTTACAGACTAACATGTCCCAGTGGATTTTGGACTATCTCACTTGTCGCCCACAGTATGTGATGGCACAGGGCTGTGTCACAGTTGGTAGGTTTGAAGTACGGGGGTCCCGCAGGGAACAGTGCTGGCCTCCATATTTCATGTACGCTCCAACTTGTGTAACTTGTGTACATGGTACTTGTTGATGGCATTAAAATCCTTTCTAATAGCATTAAAATAGCTTTCAATTAGAGTCACTCTTTCCTGTCTGAACCCTGTGAACGCTTAATTTGATATGGCATATTTAAAAAATCCCACCATCATCCAGCATATGTTTAGTTTCTGCACAAATATTTTTTTAGTTGTAGATTTTCTTAAGAATTATGCTATAATTTCTAGTTACCGATCTGTTGCTACTATATTTTAATTTGACGAAACGGAATTTCTCGATGTTCTTTTTCCTGTTAAGTGCAATTGCAATAGCGGATCTTAAAATAGCTTGGCTCCGTATTTTGGCGGTGAAGGACGGAGAAGACGTATGTGGATGGAGACGTGTGGAGGAGTAGCAGTGGATGTGGAACAGCTCTCATTTATTTACATGAAAGACAAGAGCTCTGCACGACGTACGTCAGCGGGGCGGAGCGCTGACGGAGTATGTGGAATCTGGGGGTTAGGTGGAGACACTTCGGAGTACAGACAGTGGAACCAGTGGACTGGTGCTAGTAGAACCATCTCCTGGATAATTTGACGGAAAACCAAGGAGCTAATGGTGGACTTTTGCAGAAGCCGATCCACTCCCCTGACAGTGGTGAACATCGTGAGGAGACTAAGATCTTTTGGAATGCAGGGGCACCCTTAAAGACCTTCTTCTTCTGTTTTGGCATCAGCCATCTTTTATGGAGCCGTCTGTTGGAGCAGTGGCTTATATGTAGCTGAGAGAAAGCGGCTGGATAAGCTGATCAGGAAGGCCAGCTCTGTGATTGGATGCCCTCTAGACTCTGTGCTGAAGGTGGAAAACAAAAGGATCGTAACTAAATTTACATCTCTGTTGGATAATGTCTACCACCCCGTGCATGAAGCTGTTGCTAAACTGGAAAGCTCCTTCAATGACAGACTGCTGCACCCTAAATGCACCAGGGAGTGTTATCATAGATCTTTCCTCCCAGCAGCTCTAAGACTTTATAACCTGATGGTTATGGAAGATGTAAACTGTTCAAAACAACCTTAGTAAGTTTTTACACTTATGCTTTATGATCATTTTAGCAGTTTCTGACAGTTAAGAGAAGAGCTGCTAGGTTAAATCACACAGCCTGGCTGAATAAAGAAACAAATCTTTAATTTAGACTTAGAGAACTGCAGCAGCTTGAAATGACAATTTCCAGTCCATAAAGTGCAGCAGTGATCAGTGTGCGAGAAAAAAAAAATGGTGCGAAGACTCATTGATATGGAAGGTCAGAGCATTAATATATATGGTGCAAATATGAAGTATTTTGGTTTAGTGTTATTAGTATGATGCAGGGTTTGTGACTTAATTTTTGTTTTTTCAATAGTTAAGCAGTCTGTTGGCAGTGGGGAAGAAGCGG